ATCTGGAGGAAGTTAAGGAAACACATCTCCCCTCCTGGCATCCGACCTCTGTCCGCCTCTCCATCCTGTCTTGGAGATCTTGCGGACCCCCTCCCCTCTGCTCAGCTGCCCTTCCTCTCTGCCTCTCTCACCTTACCTGCACCCCCTTTCAGTTTTCAGGGGGAACCCCACTTTCTCCACAAGGCCTTTTTTGGTGTCGCAGCCACTCCCTTTTGCTATCTTATCGCCTCTATGTTTTCCCTCAAGGTACTTAATGGTATTTAATGTACTTGTCTGTGGGCCGATTTGTCCCAGTCACTAGACTATAAGCCTCAGCACGGCCGGGCTTCTGTCTCCTCATTCACCACGTAGACTCAAGGCAGGGTCCGGCAGGGTCCCCTCTCAATAGTGGCTGTCGCCTGAGTGAAGAAACTAATGAAACGCGCACTCCTAACTCATTCCATGATGCTGGTCTCATCCATGCCTGGGACCTGTGCTGTGACTGGTGAGGTACAAGGGAAATTGAACTGTAGGTTGTGTGTGTGGCCTTGGTCACATGACCTCTCCAGGCCTGCTGAAGATTTGTTCTTTCCAGTCCTCAAATTCTGGGTCTGAAAGGAGCTCTTTCAGGGTCTACGTTCAGTTTCACAAATATGAACCAATTGTTTTTTGTTTTTTGCTTTTTGTTTTTTTGAGATGAAGTCTCACTGTGTTGCCCAGGCTGGAGTGCAATGACACGATCTCGGCTCACCACAACCTCCACCTCCTGGGTTCAAGCAATTCTCCTGCCTCAACCTCCGGGTAGCTGGGATCACAGGCATGTGCCACCATGCCTGGCTAATTTTGTATTTGTAGTGAGATGGGGTTTCACTAAAAACCCCGTTGGTCTGGCTGATCTCAAACTCCTGACCTCAGGTGATCCGCCCGCCTCTGCCTCTGCCTCCCAAAGTGCTGGGATTACAGGTGTGAGCCACCGCACCTGGCCAATATGAACCAATTGTAAAGAATTTAAAATTGTGAAAATGCCACGTCTGTGTGGCTTTTATAGACTCATAGTCAGAGAAAGACTTGGGTATTTTTTCCTGGGAGGTGTGAGGATTTAAGGAAGAAAGTGTCCTTTGGTTTCTATCAGTTTACGTCAATTCTTTATATTTTATTTTCTTCTTTCACCAATCAGTGATTCTTACCTTGGAAGCTGATTGGACAGAAAGGACCTGTCGTCACCTGCTTCTGAGTGCACACTTTCCAGAAAAGGCGCCTGTGCTTTCCGGAGCCACGTTCGCTCTTGCCGGGGTCTGTTGCGTGCGTGGCATGCGCAGCGGGGACTGCTTCTGTGTTTTGTTTGGAAAATGATCCACTTTTGCATAATGTCCCTGGGAGTGCAGTTTTCTCACAGCAAAGCTTCCTCACGTTTTCTGGTTTCATGAGTACTTAATTTAACCTAAATTAAGGAACCGTAGACCCGGTGAAGTAACGTCATAGTAGGCCTCAGGCCTCATGATAACATTATTAGTGACACACGAAGATAATAACAAGTGCATTCCTCTACCTGCCTTTTCGTTTACAAGACAAGGAAATGGACATTCGTCCTGTGAGTCCTCGTTAGTTCAGTAATAAGCAGTGTAAGTTAGTTCTACAGTGGGAGTTTGGATACTTCAGAAAGGAAGTGCCCTGTGCCCACGTGCAGGTGCCATGGGAGGGTGCAGGCTAGAAACGGTTTCCTGGGTTCAGCCTTCCCTATAGGCAGGAGGAATTCCCCAGGAGCCCAGGGGAGCGGCCTGGGGGGGCGGCAGAGCTGTGGGGGGGCCCAGGCTGCTGCCTCCTCATGGCATGGGCCCTGCACTTCCATCCCGCTAACTTTCCTCCCACCCACAAGCCTGCAAGCCCGGGACCACCCTTTGCCACAGTCACAGGTCAAAGTGGAGATTCGTGAACGACATTCAGTGTGAAAACTGTGGATTCTCCTTTCAACTTTGGATTCTGGTTTCTTGCTCTATCCGCTTCATCTCAGATTTCTTCCTTTAAAATGGAGAGGGTGAATTACATGCCCTTTTAGCTCTAAACTTTGATGGCAAAGAATGTTATGCCCTAAATGCTCTTAAAGTTATCCTGGAAATTGGATATAAATTAAAAATAGATGCTAAAGCAGGTAAATGTAAGGAAAACAGCTTGTACTGACTTCTGGCTCTCAGCCAGGTGCTTTTCACAGGCTGTTTCGTGGGAACCCTGTGATTCCTGAGGCAGGTGCCGTGGCGTCCCCCTGCAGGCGTGTGCGGCCTCTTCAGGAAAATGGCTCCAGATGGGCAGTCCCATCTTGAAAAGAAGGATGCTGTGAAGAGCCTGGAAATTTGGATAAAAGGAAGCTGATTGAAAAGCCGAGAGAAATGGATCCTTCCTGTGAGATTCAGGGGTATTAGTAGCATGAGTGGGGAGGGTTTTTGGACAGGCAGGAAGGCATTTAAGCTGTGCGGAAAAATTAAACTTCACTTGGAATAGTTTCAGACGTTTAAGATCGAAGCTCACACTGTGGAATGAAGTTCTAAACAGACGGAGACCTTTGGACTCAGACTTATTTTCGTGGCTCTGCATGTTTCTTGTACGGGGCCCTTAAGATTTTGGGTCAGACATTGTGGCCCTTTGTGTTTTTCATTTGCTTTTCTTTGTGGCTAAAACTTGGACATTTGAAAACAGCACTGAAATGCTTTGGGGTGTGCATTCCTGTGCGTTCGGACGGAGCACTGGGATCACATTCTTGCACAGCATCAAGGAGCAGCACCTCAGTGGACAGCAGAGAAATGAGACTGCCACGAGAAAGGAGCACGGGGCCTCGGCCGGCAGCTGGGTTGGAAGTGGGAGGTCTGTTCTCGCAGTGAGGTCGGGAGCCTGGTCCTGGGGAATGTCGGAGGTTATGCTTTGGTGTCTTGAGTGCTAAAGGACTGAAGAGCTGCCTCTGGCATAGGGGATGTGACATTATCATGTAAGAACGTGCAGGTCCCGAAACAGATTCTGGTACACAGTAACTGCGCAGTAGATACTCAGTGGAGACATAAGCTTCTTCCGTGATAAAGCTGTGTAAAAGCGCAGGCACGCACAGCTTCCACATCCTGGCAACTGCTGCTGTGCTGCGACAGAGACCACGGACGGCCCCACGGCCACCAGCGGCCCCTCCCGGCACTGCCAGAGCCACCGCGGGCGCGTCTGCGTCCCCACCCGTTCTCCCGAGAGTCATCCTAGGAAACTGGATACAAACTATGGTAGCAAGTGACCTCCCAGTCTACCAAATCCAATCAAGAATTTGAAATAAGGACTCCAGCGACCTCCGGCAACCGGTGACATTCTGCATCACCCACTCCCTACCCCTTAACTTTCTTTCTTTGGCTTCGGTGACTTCATCTACTTTCTTCTTTTCTAATTTGCATTTGGGAAAGATTCTACAGCCACGACATAAATGACAGGTGGGGGGGTGCTGGACCGGAGGCAGAGGCAGCTGGGGGTGGTGCTGGACTGGAGGCAGAGGCAGCTGGGGGAAGCCAGGGCGCTGTTCCATTAGACCGGACTCTGGCAGTGGGCATGGAGCAGTGGGCAACCCAAGGCTGCCTCCGAGGCACTGCCAAGGCTTTGTCCCTCGGCAGCGCGGGGCTGAGGCTGGTGTCCAGTCACTGCTTCCTGACCTGCCCATCCAGGTGCACACCGGGGGTTCCTGAAGCCTTTCACCTTTGGCAACACAGTAAAGGTTCACTGTTTATCATATCAGCATTTCATGTCAGAGACCTCACAGAATCCAGATGCAATAATGTTCCCACAGCCGCCCACGACTGCCCCGCCCAGTGCTCCCACTCCCACCGCTGCCCACAAATAACGGCACCAACAACTAGAAACAGCTGTTGAATCTCACAGCTTTTGTCTTTACAAAATAGGCCACTTCTTTGACCTGTTATGGCAGATACACACACACACACACACACACACACACACACAGAAGAAGTTGTGAAGGTGTCATCCACTAAACACTGTTATGAAATAAACCAAATGCCTGTGTGTTGTTCGCCACTGGAATTGTTTTAATTCTTTTTATTACCCCTGCTTTTTCATGAGTACACGTTTTGTTTCAGAACTGGAACCAAGCTAGGTCATCTTTTCTTTGCTTAGGTGAAACTAAGTTCAGATTTCTTCTGAAAAATGCCTTTGCTTCTCTTACGCACACTATAATTGAAGAATGCAGTCCAGCAAGATCAAAATTTGTTTTTAAAACAGACGTTTTAGCCAGGCACGGTGGCTCACACCTGTAATCTCAGCTCTTTGGGAGGCCAAGGCAGAAAGATCACAAGATCAGGAGTTTGAGACCAGCCTGGCTAATATAGTGAAGCCCTGTCTGTACTAAAAATACAAAAAAATTAGCTGAGCGTTGCGGCACATGCCTGTAATCCCAGCTACTTGGGAGGCTGAGGCAGAAGAATTGCTTAAACCCAGGAGGTGGAGGTTGTAGTGAGCCGAGATCCCGCCACTGCACTCAAGCCTGGGCGACAGAGCGAGGTTCCATCTCAAAAGAACAAACAAAAACCCAAACAGACGTTTTAGTTCCACCGGTTATAACTGATGGTGACTGAGGTGTGATTTCTTCAGCCACATGAAAACCTTATGTCTCAAGCGCACGACCAAGGGCCCTTAGAGGCGGTGATTTCGGTGTTGAACCCTCAGCCTGTGGCAGATTGAGTTCTGTGGTGCATTCCCCTTTGTGGGGGTTGGCAAAGCTGGTCGGGAAAGGCCCAGAAAGTTAATATTCTCGTCTTTGAAGGCAATGTGGTCTCCAACTCAATCATCCAACTTTACCCTTGAGGAAAAGCAGCCAAACGCAGCACGTAAACAAAGCGTGGGGATGGGTTTCAGGCAAACTGAGTTGTTTAGAGAAACAGGCGGTGGCGGCTGGGGTTGCTGGGGTGGCCGGGATGGCTGCGTCCGTGGGGGGTGTGTTTAATGCAGCCCAGGAAGTCTTACGACATTGTTTCACCCATTTCTCTCAGGAAACAGTTCTGGTGAAATGTGATCATCCTGGTCCCCTCCCAATTAATAAGACATACCATTTTGAAAGGTAACTGCTTTTCAAGATGTCATATAAGGCAAACTTCCACCTTAAAAATATAAATTTTGCCTTGGGGTTTGAGTAATGAAATGTCCAATTTGTCCTATCATTGTGACTAACTGTGATTATAAGTACAGACTGTTCCTGACATAGATATCTCAACTTTAGGAAGGTGTGAAAGAGGTACACATTCAGTAGATGCTGTGCCTTCGCACCCATTACAACCCTTCTGTTTTTTGCTTTCAATACAGTATTCAATAAACTATGTGAAACAGTCAACACTTCAGTGTACAATGAGCTTTCCATTTGGTGATTCTGCCCACCTGTAGGCTAATGTGTGTGTTCTGGGCATATTTAAGGCAGGCTAGGCTGAGCTGTGATGCTTGGTAAGTCAGGTGTATTAAACGATTTTCAATGTGCAGTATTTTCAACCTACAGAGGGTTTCTCAGGTTCTAGCCCCATCATAAGTTGAGGGACATCTGTGATCCATATGTTCATTGTTTTGCATAAATCAGCATTTTTTGTGTATCCAGTTTGTTGATAGTAATTTCATTGTGATGACAGCAACTAACTATAAGCCTTTTGTCAGAGGTCTTCCTCGGCACCTGGTCGTGGTGTATTCCCAGGGTGGACGGAGAGCCTGGAAAGGCTCAGAGGTGCGTGGCCTTTGGAAAGCCCTGGCCATCCTCCCTCAGCTACCAAGGGCCGGCGAGTGGTCCAGCTCCCAGGCCCTGCCCTCTTGCTCCTCGGAGGGACGTCAGTGCCTGTGGCCTCCTCCTCTCCCGGGCAGCAGCCTGTGTCGCTTGATAGGGTCACAGCTGGAGATGGGCAGAGGGTTCCCCTCAAGCCTCAGCTGAACACTGACCTGCGCAGGAGCGGGAAGGAGGAGGAGGCCGGGAACGATCCAGCAGAGGGAGAAAGTCTGCGGAGCTTGTACAGGCCTGGGGATGGCGAATGCTCCCGCCAGGGCAGAAGCACCTCGGGACCCACGAGCCTTGGGTGGAGGGAAGGCTGCTTTCCCGGCGCCACCCGGAAGAACTGAAACGCGAGTCTCCAGGGGCCAGGTTGTTCCCAAGCAACCGCTGGCACCCCATAGCAAAGCTGAAGAATGACCGGGATTAGGCGTCGAAACACGGCTCACCCAAGTCGGAGTAACTAGCAAGGTGACAGCAGAAGTCACAGACATGACTCAAGGAAGCAGGAAAATATCAGCTCTAATGAGAAAACTGCGGCAGCAGAAATCGAGCCAGAAGTAACAGAAATGACAGCATTAGCGGGGAGGCGCAAACGGTGATCATGAATCTGTGTGTTCCAGGACGTGGAGGAAAATGCAAACGTGCTGGGAAGACGTAAGAAAAGTTAAAAAGAGACCCAAATAAAACTTCTGGAGATGAAAAACATGCCGTAGAGGAGATGCGAATGTTCTGGCTGGGAAGGCGGAGAAGCCGGTGACCGGCGAGGCGGCGCGGAGAGGCCAAGGCGAGACCCGGGAAGCTCCACGGCGCGGTCGGCGGCTCCGGGGACGCGGTGCAGCCTCGCGGTGGGAATGGACCCGAGGTCCCTGGATGGCCCACTTGAAATGGTGAAAATGGTCAATTCCGCGGTGTGAATTTTTTACCACAATTAAAAAGGAAGTGATCCCGGCGCCAGGAAAGCTGGATACGGAGGGAATCGCAGTCCCAAAAGGTGAAGGACAGCGCGCTCAGACAACAGTTTGAAGAAATCATGTCCCCAGATTTAAAAAATCTGATAAAAACCGTAAGCCTACAGATCCAAGGAGCTCAAGGCATCCCGAGCATAAAAAACACCGGGGGCAGGGCTGACACCAAGGTACATCCTAATCAGATTGCTTTTAAAACCAGACATGAAATCACCAGCGTGAAAACACTTGTCGAAGACGCAGGGTCAGACATGAAAATATTGTTAGGTTTCTCCACGGAGCAGTGCAAATCAGAAGACAGAGGACCAGCACCTCTAAAGCACGGACCAGGAAACGGTTCATCCAGAGCTCTGTGCCAGTGAAAATGTCTTTCAAAGACAAAGACATTTCCAGACACGGAAAAGCTGAAAGAATTAATCCGCAGAGACGCACCGCAAGGAGTGTGTGACAGGGTCTGTACTGCAGGACAAGTGGGCATATGCACAGCACTCTTTTCTTATTAAAAAAAAAAACTGTCTTCCAAATCTACGTAACTAATTAAAGAAAAATAACAACATATTGTGGAGCTCATGACACATGTAGACACAGAATGTGTGTGTACAGCAGAACGAAGGCTGGGAGTGGGTGTTTGGTGTACCTTCGTGGGGTCTTTATTCTGCATGTTAGGTGACAGAATCCGATCGCGGGCAGCCTCTGCTAAGTTACATGTGGAAAACCCTAAAATAACCACCAAAAACAACAATAACAAGCCTAGAGGTATCTACAATAAGCTAAAAAACAAGATAAATGGAATTATTAAAAATCCTCAGTCAAAAATAAATGTCAGGAGAAAGGATTTAAGAGATGGAAAAACAATAGAAAAAATATATTTACCTGAATGCTAACATTAATCAAAGGAATGCTGTTCTAGATCTCAATAAAGCTATTTTGAAAAGAAAGGTGATCAGTGCAATGGCAATCAAAATCACAGCAGGGTGTTCTGTAGAGATGGAAAAACTGAGGATTAAATGTATACAGAAAGGTGAAGGAACTATAATAAACAAAACCACCTGGGAAAAGAACAGAGCTGGAGGACTCACACTACCTGATTTAAAAACAAAATCACTAAGCCAGCGTGATAGAGGCGCACCAACAGGCACATCATGAATGCAACGGCGGAGAGTCTGGAAATAAACCCACACAGATGCAGACAGCTGACTTTAACAGTTTTACTCTTTTAATTGTGGGTGCTGTCCTCTCAACTCAGAAGGTAGTATTCTGAGATAGCTACCTTCCATGCTGTTAAGAGAATTTTTCTGGAAGAGCTGGAGAAACCTATTTTCTATAAAACATCTGAGTCCCAACGTCAAAGTCATCAGAAGCAGCAGCAAGAACTGACCCTCCCTCCCCAGCTTCCGCTGCTTCAGAGAAGCTCCCTCGAAGGCATATTGTGGTGAACGTTTCTCCTTTCTCTTTGCTTCAGATGACACATGAGTTTACACGCTGTGCTAACCTACTTCTATTTATGCAACTCATGTGCTTTTATGTATAAAAGTTTTTACTGTAAAAAATATACATGACATAAAAGTTTACCATTTAACCATTTTTAAGTAAACAGTTCAATGGGATAAAGTATGATCTGGTTCCACCATCACCACTGTCCATCTTCAGAACATTTTTTGTCATGCCACCCTGAAACTCTATACCCGTTAAACACTACCTGTGCACTTCTCCTCCCTCAGCTGCTGGCAGCCACTGTTCCACTTTTCACCTGAGACGTCTTATCTAAGGCATCTGTGCATTTTATCTAAGTCGGGTAGCAAAAGGAGGTTCTTTGCAGTAAGCCATTCTGGAAATTACAGATGGTGCAGGGATTTCTTAGCCTTTACAGTTGTTCAGGATCTTGGAGCATGGGTAAAGTTCAACATTATCAGTTTTTTCTCTAGATGATTTTAAGAGTTTTCTCTTTGACTTTGGTGTTCCAAATCAAAGTGAAACTGCACTGCTTCATTCTGCAGTTTCTAAGTTTTTTGCTTGTTTTACTTTGTTTTATAATACCACTTGGGACTTTAAATCTTTGAATTAATGTCATTCTTTAGTTGAAAAATTATCAGGCAGAATATTTTTATTTTATTTTTTATTATTTATTTATTTATTTATTTTTGGGATGGAGTTTCGCTCTTGTTACCTAGGCTGGAGTGCAATGGTGCGATCTCGGCTCACTGCAACCTCCGCCTCCTGGTTTCAGGCAATTCTCCTGCCTCAGCCTCCTGAGTAGCTGGGATTACAGGCACGTGCCACCATGCCCAGCTAATTTTTTTTTTGTATTTTTAGTAGAGACGGGGTTTCACCGTGTTGACCAGGATGGTCTCGATCTCTTGACCTCGTGATCCACCCGCCTCGGCCTCCCAAAGTGCTGGGATTACAGGCTTGAGCCACCGCGCCCGGTGCAAAATCTTTTTAAAAGATTTTGGTGTCTCTTGATAACTCTATTACGCAGGGGAAAAAATTAAGTTAAAATCTCTCTCTGTCTCTCTCTCTCTTTTTTTTTTTTTTTTTTTAACTGGGCTTCAGAGTAATCTGGTGTTGGGCTAGGTGAGGAGGGAAAGGGGATTGGCCTGATTCCTTCCACGGGTTTTATACTGTAGTTGAGAACTAGGCTTTGGATGGGGGTGCTTGGGAGATCTTTACAATGATAAGTAATATCAACATTGTCAAAATAAGGTAAAACAATCAAAATAGCTGACATAATTGGCCAAGGATGGACAAGAAAGGAATGTTGGGGGCCAGGCGCGGTGGCTCACGCCTGAAATCTGAGCACTTTGGGAGGCCATGGTGGGCAGATCATCTGAGGTCAGGAGTTCAAGACCAGCCTGACCAACGTGGCAAAACCTCATCTCTACTAAAAATACAAAAAAAAAAAAAATTAGCTGGACGTGGTGGTGCACGCCTGTAGTCCCAGCTACTTGGGAGGCTGAGGCAGAAGAACTGCAGGAACGCGAGAGGTGGAGGTTGCAGTGAGCCGAGAATGTGCCACTGCACTCCAGCCTGGGTGACAGAGTGAGACTCTGTCTCCAGAGAAAAAGAAAGAGAGAGAGAGAGAGGAGAGACAGGAAGAGAGAAAGAAAGAAAGAGAAAAGAAAGAAAAAGAAAAAGGAAAGAAAAAGAAAGGGAAAGAAAGAAAGGGAAAGAAAGAGGGAGAAAGAACGTTTGTCATGGAGCAGAGCTAATGAGGGAAGTACCTCTGGGGTAGAGGCCTTGAGCATGGCCTCGAGCTCTGGAGGTTTAGGTAGGACAGTCATCCCCAAGAGACTCATCCGAGACTCGGGAACTGTCGCTGATGAAGGACCTGGAGGTGTCGCTCAGGAA